GCCTATAATCCCAGGACCCCAGGAGGCTGAGGCAGGGTGATCACAAGACTATGTCCAGCCTGGGAAATTTAGCAAGACCGTGTCTCAAAATAAAATGTAACAAAAGGGCTGAGAACGTAGCTCATTATGAATGCCCTGGGTTCCATCCTCAGTACAGCAAAAGAAAACAAAAAGGCAGTTGTTTCTGAGGGGACCAAAACGTGATACCACAGGTGGGGATATTTTCTGGACTTCTTCCCTCTTTACAAATAATGCGGAGGCAGAGAGCTGCCCGCTCTGGTGGGTACAGGCGGCGTCTTCCCACCCTGGCCCTTCTGCTGGATTGTGGACGGGTATGACTACCTTTTAAGTTCCCCCTAACGGCGGCTCCTTGCCAGCGGGACGGTATCAGCACCAGAACCTCCAGCCCTCTGTCTCTCATTCAATCATGTAACCATTTTGCTGGAATCACAAGAGCAGGGGCTGGGGATGTAGCTCAGTGGCATAAGCGCCCGCCTGGCAAGTGCAAGGCTGTGAGTTCGATCCCTGGTACTGCCAAAAAAAAAAAAGGAAACGCAAGAGCAAGCCAGGTCCTGAACCAGATGACCAAATGCAGGTTTATCTTGTTTTGTCTTTGTGGTGCTAGGGGTTAAACCCAGGACCCTCACACTGAGCTACATCCCAGACATTTTTGTATTTGAGACAGGGTCTCGCTAAGTCACTACTAACTTGCCCAGCCTGGACTCAAACTTGCCAGCCTCCTGCCTCAGTTTCCCAGACGGGTGGGGCTGCAACCTACACCATCAGGCCTGGCTCAGAAAACCAAGTGACACAGCAGCATCACGGAGAGGGCTCGGCCAGATGCTCACTCATCCCTGGGCCCCAGGGCTCCACCCCAAGAGATTCTGATACCATTGGTCTGAAATGCGGCAAAAAGTGCAACTCATAGGAGAGCTGAGAGCTTCTGAGCACAAGAAGAGAATAACAGGCACCAGACATTGTGCTACTGTATGTCAGACACTCGCCATAAATTGTCACAAATCCTGCCGCAGTCCTCTGAAGTAGGAGCTCAGAGGCTCCCTCACTGTGTGACATGGCGAAGGCTGTCAGGCACCTAAAATGAGTAGAACATGATTTTGCTCCTGTGCTTCAACAGAGAGTGGCTTTAAAGGCCGGGCGTGGTGGCGCACACCTGTGATCCCAGCACTCAGGAGGCTGAGGCAGGAGGATCACTGCAAGTTTGAGGCCAGCCTGGGCTACAAAGTTAGTTTAAGGCCAGCCTGAATTGCTTAGTGAGACCCTCTCTCAAAAAACAAACGAACAAACAAAAAACAGCAGCTTTAGAGGAGGATCAAAGCATTCTGTAGCTGAAACCAAGCAATGATGTTTTCCCCAATTTATGGGAGAAAAATAACCTAAATGCATATAAGTCATTCATTTTAAAGTGTTCGCCTTTTATACCTTATTCTCAGACTATGGTGCTTGATACCACTTGTCTACAGTACAATCTGGGGTAGCATAACGTACAGTAATAGTAACAGCTAGCTCATACACACCCCTTCCTAGGCACTTGTCTAAGCATTTTAATATATTAACACATTCACTCTCACAATCACCCACTAAAATTACCCCCATTTTACAGATAAGGAAACTGAGGCACAAAAGCACCTTGTCCAAAGTTCACAAAGCTGGGAAGTGTGGAGTTGATGTCATGAACCCAGCAGGCTAGCCCCACGGTCAACACATCCATCCCACCTTAGCACACTGCCTTTGCTTTTTGTTTTTGCTTTTGTTTTTTCACACAGGGTCTTGCTATGTAGCCCAGGCTGGTCTTGAGCTCGGTGCAATTCTCCTGCCTCAGCCTCCCAAGTGCTGGCATCACAGGCGTGCGCCGCCATGCCCAGCTATTGCCTTTGAATCTCGAAATAAGGAACTTGCAGTTCTGGTTTGTTATATCAATGGATGATATTCAGAGTTCTGCAAGCCCTGCTCAGGGTTCCAGGGCTCCGTGCCTGATAGAGCAAGAACAGCTGGGCTTTGGAGTCAGAAACCACTAGCACTCGGTGACCTCAGGCCAGTTGCCAACCTCTCTGAGAGTCAATTTTAACATTTTCCTGGAGAGGGGCTGGGGATTTAGCTCAGCAGCACAGCGCCTGCCTGGCAAGCACAAGGTCGTGAGTTCAATTCCTGGTACTGGAAAAAAAAACCAAAAAAAAAAGAAAACAAACATTTTCCTGGAGAGTTCACAGAGCTGCCTGCAGTGAGGACAGAGTGAGGGAATTCACAGAAATGCCTGAACCAGAGCCTGGCCAGTTGTCTTTGAACCCAGGTGCCCTGGACTACTTTGCTCTCCATCTGTGTATTTGTTGATTCACTCTACAAACACCAGAGGGAGACAAAGCCTGGCCAGCACCACTGCCTCCCATGCTCCTTGCCGCCTCCCCCTCCCCTCCCCAGAGCAGAGCAATGACTTCCAAATCGGCCCGGCATGATGCCCCAGCACCCAAGTGCTGCGATGACCCGCAGAACTCAGCCGAGGAGCAGGAGCTGTTATGACGGTGAGAACAAAAGCAGGCTGGGCAAGGCGGCTCCAAGGATGGTGGGAATCAGTGGGAGAGGACGCTCCGCCCAGGGAGAGGGCGCGGGCCACACAGGGGAACTGCTTGGGGTTTACAGATGGGCCCAGATCTCCGGCCGAGGCAGGAGGGGAAGAGAGAAGGCAAAATCAGGGGATGAGGCTATCATGGTCAGGCCTGGTAGGAGAAGCCAGAGTTAGAGAAGCTACTCGTTGCTGCCCTGGAAATCACAGCAGAATTTTGATCAGCAGTCACAG